TAAAAAAAAATACAACGTGTAATTATACAACACGCTACTGAAGTGAAACTTCTTCAAACACACAAACATACCGGGATAGGGGTTAAGGAATTGGTTTAATGGTATTATTTGTACACTATGAATTTAAATTTTACACGGCTTTTTCAATGTTGATATTCTCTAATGGTACGTAATAGACAAGAATCAATCGTCACGGAATTCAATGTGAAACGTCCATTACTCTTGCTGGTGTACATTTGTATCTAGTGATTGTTACGAATTCAATAAAGGTCTTCCCAAGGAAGTCTAAAAGCTTTACGAAATCGTAATCGATTGTGAGATAAATCTTCATATTAATATTTTATCAACGACAGGCCGTTTTTATTGTACAAAAATCCTTTGCATGTATTTGTTTTAGAAATGGGTTGCTTGCTCGGCACATTATTAAACAATTTAACTAATTATTTTGAATAAGAACACGTGATGTATGTCTCATTTTGTTATAAATCTTTTTCATAATTGTTTCGGTAATTAACGAATGTAGAAAATATTAATTTATTTAGAAGGCTATCTACAATATACTCTTTATTATAAAAGAAAAATACAACGTGTAATCATACAACACGCCACTGAAGTGAAACTTCTTCAAACACACAAACATACCGGGATAGGGGTTAAGGAATTGGTTTAATGATATTATTTGTACACTATGTATTTAAATTTTACACTATACATGCCGGAGTTGCCTGTAACGAACGTTGCATTGAAGCGCGCTCACGGCTCAAGCGCTGTCCACTACGAACTCGACTACGTGACCGAGTAGAGGGGGGACATCCGTTGCATGATTTCGTTACATAGCAACTCGCATGAAACGAACCTACCATAGCGTGCGTAAAGAAGTTTCACATCAAAAACTTACCGTAGGAAAATGAAATTTTAAAAAATTAAGAAATTTCACACATATGAACAGCCCTCAGGTGATTTGAATATCAAAATCAGATTACGTAATCTATCTATCTACTATCTAGTATCTATAAAATCAACAATTCAATTCTACTTTATATAGAGTGCAGTGACAAAACTGTTTACTTAATTCTTAAATTAAAAATAAACGATAAGTTAAATAAAAATGTTACTATTGTTGATGTAAGGGTAGAGGAAATTGCCTCCATTGAATAAGTTTTCAAAGTAATATTAAGCGAAAGATGGAATCGGTTAGATATCCTGTCGAGGTAGGTGTAACGCGTACGCGTACAATGCCTGTACGCCCAACGTGCTGTTGGGCTACATCCTGGGACCTAGTAGCTCCCGGTTGCATTTTCAGAGAGGGGTGGCAGGGAGGAAGCGGCATTCGTGGCAGGACCGCCGCCGTTGTTGTCGGAGAACAGCAGGAGAATTATTGATTCTAGAAGTTACGAACCATCATGCCCGTTTAACAGTCAGTATGCATTCAAATTATGATTGCATATATGTACGGGGTATCTCGGTGTCATAATCATAACGTATTTCCCTCTTTTGTCTTAAAAAATTTGAAAAGTGACAGACGTTCAATATAAAAAACGTTGACAACAGCAATTACTTCTTCTACTGTTACAATCCGGCCACGAGAAACGAGAACAAATTGTTTTTGTAGACGCGGTTAAACGATTGTGAAACATTAAAATAACAAAAAAAAAGAAACTTGATTTATTTCATATGAGTGACCCTTGGAAAGAAATGGAAAATATAACAAAAGAAACTAGAATTTGTTTTTTCACAACCGTGTTTTAGAAAAAGCTCTTAAAATATATTTCCTACCTTTCTATCGTTGTGAATTAATATACATATAGAGTTTTGATTAAATTCAATGATAGGATGAGGGTGGCTTTAGCGTTAGCTACAATTTGTATATATATATATATATACTGAGTATATTAACTATGATGATTATATAAGAAATAAAGAGAAACCAACAAGTTTATGAAGTAGATCTACTGGGTAAATAAACAAGTGTAAACCTCTAAATTAATTTTTGATAAGCGTCCCTAATTTTGGAAGGATTCAATCAAAATCTACAGAAATGTCCATAATCTCGTATAAAACAAAATTTCTTGTATGGGTGAAAATGGGTATCTCACATAAATTTAGAAATACCGCTCCGAGAAATTCACCGAAATTGAATATAATCTGTCTGAAATGACCGGGAAATTGGTATTTTCATTTAAGTATATAGAAGAGTAGCTGTCAGCAATATACCTTAATCCATATATTACATACATGTTTCCTGTACGCCCAAATATTGTTTCAATTTTACGCTATCAGTATGATATCCAGTGAAACACATGATATATAGCATATTTATTTGGTAAAAATAAGAGAACAAATTGAAGATGAACTCAAAGAACCTGTGAAAAAGAGTGATAAAGTAGTAATAACTTTTCATTGACATATATGAACGGGCTTTGACACCCTTTTCACCTAAGGTTAGGTACTAATAGACCAGCTCGTTCCCATTTCCACTTGTCTCTTCATGTCCAACGTCACATATTAGTTTCCCTTATATTTTTTATTTTCTTTCAACTTCTCTAACCGCTTAAATTTCATGATCTATGCCTTTTATGTATGCTACTTTTTTCTATTAGAGCTGTTTCAAAATTAAAATAAATAAAAAAGAGAATATGTCCTGTGTTTAATTTAGTCTTAATTTCTCGGCGTGCTCTGTTAGATAGTCTGTTATGTATTTATGGTTGAATTCTACGTAAACTCTTCATTTATAATATTTTGAATAATTAAAATTTAAATCTATTAGCTACACACCGAATTAAAATTTAAATTTTAGATATTTGTTATTATATTATTTTAAGAGTTGCGAACACTTTCTCTACTACTACTTAATATTAATGTGCATTTTAAATGAGACTGGCAACATATTTTGATCCTTAAAATACAGAACAAATATTTTAGGTGAATATATGCAAATTAGAATTTTGATCACAATTTTCTTCGTGATTGTGAATGTAAGCGTATAATAAATTCAGCAGCCGATTTTTAACAACTTATTAACATAATTTGAAATTAGTGTCACTCACGGAGAAAACTAAATTTTTATGACAAAGCAAAAATTACAATTTTCGATTGTAAATGACTCACTTTAGCGTAAAAATAGTAGAATTTATTAAATAACGTGTAATAATCTCAATTTTGTTTTTTTGTAAAAATTATTTCACGTTTCTTATTTATTACAATCTAATTTGTAATATCAACTAAAATACCTAGTAAATTAATTTCTGTTGGGATTTTATTTTTACAAGTTCGAATCTAAATTGTAATTTTTATCATTTTCGCTTACGAAATAAAGGGCTAGCTAAATTGTAAATATCGCTTTAATATTTAGATAAATTTTCCTTTTTGCATTTTCTCTGTGCTCCTGTTTAATTGCAGTTCCTTCTTAAAAAAGCTACTTTCTACATAACTTTTTCTTCCTTTGGTTTGTAAAGGTACCTACATACCTTCATCATATATCCGTTTCCTCTTACTAGTTGTTTAATTAAGTTCTGCAGTCAGATTTGATAGTTTTCAACGCTATGCATTAGGGGTGGTTGGTTACTCATTAATCTGAGTTGGTCCTGACGAAAGGACATCTTGATTTTGTAATTGGGACAACTGTGACGCTCATGCGCGCTACGGCAACGAATTTTCCAAACGGTTTTTGGATGGGAAGCCTCCAGGCCACAGTAAGTGTCTTCTGGTGGCCGGTGCGGTTCCGAGATTTTCCTTACAAACGTGTCGCGCGTGTCTATTTTCCATGCACCAAGGAACGTATGCCGGTTGCTACTGCATTACAAAACTAAGACACTGCAACGTTTTTTATTTTAACGTGTGACATTCGAGTTGATTTTAATATTTCATTTAAATTTGTTGCGATGAAAATACAGCCGTTTCAGGCACAGCAAATGTGAAGTTTAAAAAGTTGTAAATATGAAAAATGGATAAAGAAATAATTGTAATGTACAGGCTGTTGCATTTTTAATATAGATATAAACTTTCTTGCGATTAGTATAAACCATCGAAAGGTATTTGAAAAATTTGAAAATCTTATGATTCGCGGTAATAAGCCTGTCATTTGGAAATTACATGGTCTTAATTATTTCTACCGAACTCACTGAAGTATTTTATTTAAAAATGTACATTATTTACTGGGATTTCAAAACAACCCTTCATTTGCTTAATTCTACGCTTTCTTTTGTTTGTAGCTGCAATTTTTTTAAATGCCATTACCGAATTATTTAAAAACTATCAAATAGTACTTTTGTTTTGTTAATGTTATAGCAATACTTTATTGTATAAAGTATCCAAATTGCATGTTTTTAATATCAGGAGATGTATAAAAATTAATCGCAAATGTTACATTATATTAGGAATTTATTTTTGAATGAAACTTGCTTTAATTCTATATTATCCTTTGTCGTACCGACAATGCACATTTTCAGTCCCATAATGAATAAAATTGCGTACAATTTGAGTAATAAGTTTTTAACAATATATTCTTTTTATCCTAACTCGAAAAAATATTCCTGAAACTTAATAAAATGATAAGACAAAACAACTACTCTTCAATTTTCTGGTTACGAAAAAGTTTTTCTTGATGTGATTTATACACCCTTAGAGTTAGAGACAACAGGGTACGCATTGAACCCCGCTTGTGGTTAGAAATAAGGGTACATTTACTACAGGAAACCATAATATTCACAAAAAGTTAATTACTGTAGCATCTGCAATATGTCTCGTAATAATTAATTGTTTTAAAATTAATTTTGCCCTAACTTACAAACTTGTTTGTTGTAAATTGAAATTCGAAACATTAATTTGAATCAAATTATTAACCATAAAATATGATAATTATCTGTCATGTATCCCCACTTGGTGTCTTGCTCTTCTAAAGAACTTGGTGTAACAAAGGCTATTGAAGAGAATCCACAAGGATTTAGGAAAGTCCTTTTAGTTTTTTTTTGCTTGGAAAAAGCGAAACAAAAACAATAAAAGCAAGTAGAAGATCGTTGCGAAATAAATATCTAATGAATAATACAGATATCACTTCATTTTTCAACATACCTAAAAAAAGAGGAGGTTGTCAATTCGATCGTATTATTTATTATGTGTATGACACGCATTTCTTTCCGCAGCTGTGAACTGATTTTAATAATTCTATTTTTATTGTATAGTAGGGCGATTCCGTTTAAATTTGAAGAAAATATTCTCTGACGGTGCACAATTAGACAATGATAACAAAATAGTTGGAGAAATTAATGCAATTATCTTTTAATTTTTAAGTTTACGTTGGTGCCTTTAGGTTTACATGTTAGGCAAATAAGGGTAGATGGTTTTTATACGTCAGTATAAATATTTAAATTATTACTTATCCAATAAGTATCTAACAAACCCAAAAAGGGATCGTCATTAAATATCCTTCACATTTACAGCTTTAAAGTTTCCGTTTCCGATGTATTGTTATTGAATTACATTTTCTTTGTGGTAAACATAAAAGACAAAAGCAAACGAAATGGACGCGCCTTTTAAGAACAAATGAAATTCGAATAGGTATATTCGGGTCTGCTACTAAGAGTTCACTATGTAACCAACGATTTATTACCACAAAAACATCACGATGGGAGAAAAATCTGAAGCTACTGCTGCCAATATCACACAATCTCGTACTTTTTTGTGGAGTTCATTCAAGGATAAGGGCGTGGAAAAGCTTTACCAAAGTTACAGTGCCAAACAGAAAAGATCTGGGTTGGAATGTTTTCTCTTAGCAGCGATACTATTTGACATTTATCTAGTAGCCATTTCGAGCGGACAAGACTTTCTCGTTGTTGGGGTGATGGGTGGCTTTCTGATAGCCAACTGTTTACTGTTGATATGGTGTAGGAGAGACTTCGACAACAAAACTGTTTGGGCCGCTATGCCCCACGTGTCGTGGCATTTTTCAAATGCTCAACTAATTGCTTCGGTTTTTCTTAAGAGAAACGAGGTGACTGCCAGCGAAAGTCTCGGATGGGCTCTGCTTCTGGTCTACTTGATTTATCTCACCCTCCCGTTGCGTTTACGATATTGCGTAATTCTAAGTTTGGGAACGTGTGCTTCGTACATGGTGGTTGTCATAAGATTGCCCAAATTTGAGACGCATCTAGTGCAACAGGTAAATAAAACTATATACTTATTTTGACATACACCCAGATATTGTTTATGTTATTAGAGTTTTTAAATTTGCATAGTTAGGTAATATTATTTTCAATCATGCTGATATCAAATTTTGTAAAATTTTCTAAAACTTGTGGTGTGCGTAGTTCTAAGAAAATTCAAGTAGGCTAAATCATAAAGTTAAGGCCAGATGAATTCTTTTGCTAGATTGTAAGGGTAGTTTTTATGTTGTTTTCTGTGGGAAGAAATCGATCGCATCAAGTACCCAGGTAGTCAAAAAAGGGAGTACAGGCTGGCGAGCGGGCATTTGGTGAAAACGTTTAAATGTATCTACATAGCCAGTTTTATTTTCACTGAATATTTTTAAAGTTTGCGGAGTTTTCTTTTTTCAAAGCCCTTGCCCTTAGGAGATTTGTTCTCTTCATCAACTAATTTTCATATCAGTATCTCAACGAAAAAAGAGATACTTCACTAATGTATTCTATTGAGAATTCTGGAATAACGGAATAGAACAATTGTTACTTTTAGGTACAAAAACGTAAAAATATAAAAATCAGAGTCTCATTTATGAAGGATTTTCATAGTCTTAGATTTGACGTTGTTTTAATTTGAAAGTACTTTAGACAAGGTTTACTTTTTCACAAGATTAAAGGCAACATAATAACGTAAATTCAATTCTACGTCCAACTCGGTTTATAATTTCCTTTTATTCCATTTATTTTAATTTTAAAAAACAATTCATTTTTCCAACGCTACTTGTTTCAATAGAATTTTTGTAGAAGAACACAGTGACATCAAAAGAACGTTCATTACGTTCTTGATCAGAAATTTTTCAAAACTACTAGATCTCATCAGCGCGCCATAAATTACAGATCAAATAGTTAAGTAGCTGCAAATATCCACTACATGCCGTTATACTGGTTGTACCTGTGCAACTTAACATAAAAGTTAATCATCCAATTTTTTTCTATAAGAAAATCCCCGACTGAATTTTTATGTTACTACTTAAGTATTATTTGTTGCGTATATCCAGATAGGCGCAGTGGTAANACGAAGCATCGGACTTAAAGAAACACTGATATACACAACACTTCTTTCAAGATGTATTTTAACTCCGATAATCATCATCATCATCATAAGGTCATCAGTCCTAATTCGTAATTCTAATTGTTCTATTAATCTACCTCCCTATTTCTTATTAACTTCCATAGGGATCCCACCCTGTTCTCCTATTCTTTTTACAAAAACTACCTCATTTCTAACCATCTCTAACCGTAGGAAAAATTTCCATTCTATTTCATTTAAAAAATGCCATTTAATTACCACTGATAATAATTAATGGTAATAAATGGAGAATTGCCAATGGGATGAATGGAATTTCCACTAGAATTCTCGAACTCAATGGGACTTCCATTGCTAAACGTAATGGGATTTCCTTTGCGTTCCATAGGAACTTCCATTTCTGAACCCAATGAAAATCCTATTGTCAATTCTTTATTTTTTACTTTTAATTATTGCTAGGGGTAATTAAATGAAATTCTTTTTAATCAAGATGAAATATGAGGAAAATATTAATTACATGACAATTATTATTCCAAATAATGTTTTGTTTATTAATTTTACAACTTGCTGTGACAATCAGCACGTTTCTCTCCGTTTTTTTAATAAATTTTAATCATCTCAAACCAGATCTTTTCCATTTTTAGGTATCTACCCAATTGTTTTCCCATTTAATGGTTTTAAATAGAATTTATAAATTTTGCATTGGTTCCCATTGAAAATCAATGGAAATTTTTCCTATGTAAATATTAATGGAATTATTGTAAATGGAAACAATTATTTTTCCATTTATGCCAAATGGTTTTGAATGGAATTTACAAATTTTCCATTGATTCCCATTGAACTTCAATGGAATTTTTCCTACGGGCAACCTCACCATCACAGAGAAAACTAAATTTTTTCCGTAGAAATAGTAGAATTTATTATGTAACTTGTAATAATCTCATTTTTGACATGTTTTTTTAAAACTTATTTCAAGTTTCTTGATTATTACAATTTAATTTGTAATATCTAGTAAATTTATTTCTGCTGGGATTTTATTGTTACAAATTCGGGTCCAAATTGTAATTTTTGTTATTTTCGCTTACGAAGCAACAGGCTAGTGGGATAAATTGAAATATCGCTTTAATATTTAGGAAAATTTTCCTTTTCCATTTTCTCCATGTTGTGTTTGTTTTATGACAGGTAGACACTTTAAATTTCAGAGTGAAAAATGTCTACCTGCTCTAATGTAGGTCCGCATATATAAAATTAAAAAAAGGTCAGAACTTGTACTAATTTGTTATTTGCTGATTTTATAACACAATAACGCATATTTCTTCAGTCAGCTAAAGCTGAGTGTTTGTGTTAACTTTTCAAATATTCTCGATTTTGTTAAGCAAAAGGGGGAAATTGGGTTAATTGTGCATATACATTGTAATTACAGGCGTGTCTTTGTTCTGTACGTTTCACAAGTATTTTTTTTTGTTACATCCAAAAGTGGATGATTCTGGACTCTGGCACTCTGCCAGCATTTCCGTAAATGTACAAAGTTCAAGTTCACAGCAGTAGAGATAAACACAGTTTTGTTTTCCTTCTTCTATCCGTTGTGGAATTAGACAAAAAATAATTTTTTAATTTTAAATACTTATTTCAATGGAAATTTTATAAATAACAAACACATACCAAGAATATAGTCATAATTTCCATATATTAATTTGAATTATTTCGGAATTTCGTTTTATCGTACTAATTGAATCTGAATATTAAATCATAATTTTAATAAAATTAGAGTAAAGGAATTAAAACACTTGGCAAGTTTCACAATGTTCAATNTATTTGAAATTGTAGATTCGCTTGGCACTTGGTGAAACATTTTTATAAAATTAAAGTAAAGGAATTAAAACACTTGGCAAGTTTCACAATGTTCAAAAAATTTACTTTGTATACTCTTTGAAAATGGTTTAAACACCGAAACGATCGTCAGAGAAGTAAATTGAACATTGTGAAACTTGCCAAGTGTTTTAATTCCTTTACTTTAATTTTATAAAAATGTTTCACTAAGTGCCAAGCGAATCTACAATTTCAAATGCATAATTTTATTGTTTACCCGGCGGCTCCACCAAAGTTCAGAAATTGCAACGTTTCCTTTTTAATCTGAAATTTTACTAACACTATAGTACAAAGAAAAACTTAAATCCACTTCGTAGCACCCTCTATTCTCTTACTCTTTCTAATACCTCCTCATTTTTAACTTTCTTTATCCTTTCGAACGTTTCTAAAATTTTCTTTTTTGCCACGCCCACCGTCTATATTTCGCAACAACCGTACAAAATATCCATCAGGCATACACCTTTAAGAGTCTTTTTTGAACCGTTTGCGAGCACAGAAATTACTTCTTTTTGTTAAAAGCGACTCGACCCTGCGCTGTCCTTTATTTTATTATCTCTAACTACTGCTGTTTCCACCCTGTATTATTTAACTTCGTGGATACACAAAATCATCATTTTTCATCTCCTATATTTATATTCACTCTCTTGTACTGCCTATCTACATGAAAACTCAAACTTCGAATTTCTTTTTTTTTCTTTTTTTAATTTCGTTGGGTAACAATCTAAAATAATGGAAAAGTCACGCAATGCGTGATTCGGCAGAAAATGAACGAGACATGTACGAGCACGCTAAGAACGAAGTGTTGCATGAGTAATGAAACGCTGGACAAAACGTACCTTCATTAAAGAAAAAATTTTGTACGAATTTTTGCGTCGCATTTTTCAAAAGATGATACCTCCCCTTATCTCCACTGCCTCCAACATAAGATGTGGGCGAAACACGTACCTATTCGCTCAGTAATAAACTATGTAGTGGCAAATTGGGGTGAGTTTCTCCCCTTTTTATTTTGATCAAATTATACATTGGCATAATCAGGTACCTACTGGGAAAATTTCGTCATTTCCTACTTAATTTCTGTTTGTTCTTCTCTTGTGTGTTCTTTCCATCTTCGTATTTCCCGTTTACATCTCCAAAGTTTTCTCGCAATGATTTGATTTTGTCAGACTAATAAAATTAAGCTATTCTGAAAGTTCTCTTAAACATGTTAATTATTAGCAATTAAATTCATTCGCATTTCTCTTAAATAGGATGGTATTTACCAGGTTAGTTGATTACCTACATATTATTGAATTTAATAGGTACTATGTACCTACTACAATTAAGCATTATCGATGGTAATCAATGAAATTGAGTTTTACCGACACAAATATAAAGTAAAGGGGTTCTTAGGAAAATCAAGCTACCTACTAAGCGAAAATCAAAGCAGATAAGTTTGAAGTATGGCCGATGAAGCGCTGGCGTTAGTTAATGAGTAGAAGCCAGAAAACTAATTAACTTATGGTTGCATTGAATGAGTTATCACAGATAAATGTCGACCCCTTCGTAAAAAAACGGTTTGGCCTTTTAATTTTTCATTTTAATTAATCTGTTCACTCCTGGCTTTCGTCAATCCTTTAATAAATTGTAGTTCACTTAGAGGGTGATTATGCGTCCCCTAATAACAATAACAATTTTTCAAGTTTATTTCTCGTTTTTAAACGCATTTTTCATTTGTTTCAGCATTCTGCAAATTGTGTGTTGCTGATTACTGCAAATCTCTTGGGTCTCATGTCATATTTCGTGGAAGAAAAGCAACAAAGAAAAGCATTTCTAGAGACAAGGCAGTCGTTAGAGATGAAATTAGTTATTGAAGAACAAAGCGCAGAGCAGGTAATGTTTTCACATTTACCTACAAATATAAAAATAGCAAAAACTTAGTAATAATAACCAGGTTTTACTTTTACTATAAGTGTAGACAGAGCTTCTTTTTATGTTTTGCGCGTTTTCAATCAGCTGCTAAAAATTCTGTTTTAAAAGTTTTTACTGTTTTGCAGTTTCATTCTATCGTTTATTCCATTAACTGTGTTAACTTCGCGTTTTACGATTGATTTTCTCGTTCCTCTGTACATATATTTTTGCAATTCGCTGAATATGAGAGACCGTGCTACGGCAACAAATTTCACCAAATGATCTTGCGATATTTCAACATTTTTTGGTGATGCATTGCTCAACTCAGTCTCTATCTGGTCACTCTCTTTTCACTTCAAGAAGATTAATGTGCCCGACCTCTACTCGACCTGAAATATTCATTAGACGTTTTGATCTATTTCGGCTTAGTGATGATTAAAATGGTCAAATTTTAAATCATAATTTTGAAAGAAAGTTGTAAATACTTTTTCTATTGCATAATAAACTGTTTTTTGTATTCGCTGTTTAAGTACGCGGCTCTTAATTGTGTTGCAAATGCTTCAAGACAAAAAAGAAAATTTAGAAGTTGTGGCCGCTTTTATTCTTCGAAAATTCCCCGTGATTATTGAAAAAAGTTCTTTCAAACGTGGTGGTTTAGGAAAGATTGAAAAGACAAGCACCCGTAAAACGTGATAGGTACTGAATCCTTTTCTTGTTTCAGGAGAGGCTTTTGCTGTCCGTTTTACCCGAACACGTGGCTGTCCAAATGAGACAAGATTTGGATCTAACAGATAGCCAGTTTAAGAAAATATACATGAGCCGCCACGAAAATGTCAGGTAAGTTGTATATATGTTATGTTACCGGAAATGTATGAAATCTAATAATTGTATACAATTTCTAGGAAATGTATACAATTCCGAGGCTATTTAGGAAATCTATAAAATATTGTTTCAAAGATTTTTGAATACACACATATCCTGGGAAATGTATACATTACCTAGGAATTGTATTAAATTCCGATATTGTACTAGGAAATGTACAAAACTAATGCTTTCTATGAATAAAACATGTTAGTAAACTGAGAATCAGAGTTACTTGTGAATACAATAAATCGCTTGATCGGATGACGCAATACCCTCCCCTCGCTCTCCCCGCGTACCTAATGACATTTTGAATGTAATACATTTTTGACACCCCTAACTACCATAAAAAACATTTTTGAGCGGACACGTGTTGCGTCTACTTCATACGTGGGCATTTTTAACGCGAGACGAAACACGTGTCCCCTCAAAAAAGTGTTTTGTGGTTATTAGGGGGTGAGTCTTCCCTTCAATTTTTTAATTAATATTTACCACAGTCTCCTCTACTTTTATGCATAATTACGCGAACATCAAAGCATATCATATATTTTTTCTGTATTTATTATAAAAGAGAGGGAATGAAGAATACTATACAAGAAAAGTTTTCTGCATTGGATGTACCGTAAATTTAATTATTTGTATATGTAAGTAAGAAAATAGGAAAAGGTGTTGCATCCGAGGGAAATCGACCCCGGGAGGCCTGTCAGGTCAAATCTGAATATATTCAAACACGTACGCGATTGTTTTAAAATTTATATATTATTAAAGGTTATATAAGTCTGAAATGTATATTATATTTGATTGAAAATCAAATTGATCGAATTTCGGCTATTTGCTATTTCTATATTCTTAATGAAATGTCTGAAAAATGCAAACTGTAAATTCTAAATTTGAGAACGTGTGAATGGAATTTTGCTGTGACAATATTTCTTTTTGCCTTTTAAAAAACTGAAAGCCCTTTACATAAGTTTCTATTATCTTTTGTAAAAGCTGAATATACGCAAGAACCATTTCAAGTGCTGAAATGCTGTGGTATGAAATGAAAATATAACTTTATTACCTTTCCTCTAGAACCGAAATATCCCATAGGCGCATTATTATTAATGAACTCATCCAGTGACATTTGTTCGCCCTTTTTTGAGTGTCATTCGCCTTTTTGTTTGTAAGCTGTGAATTTGTATTGTTGATTTAATTTGTGATAAGAGGGGAATACAATATTCTTGAAAAATTTATACTTTAGTATACTTCAGGGATTTTGTATTTTGCAAGTCCTTTGTGCGACCATTTGAATACCTACCATATTATTTTATTGAGAAAATAAAGGTAAATTTGCGATTTATTTAAGCTATCTAGTTCTAAAGTTCTTATAAAGGGTAACGGTTTGAAAACTTTCTTTCAAAAGCAAAGATAAGAAGCTTGCGTACTGAAACACCCTCAGAAGAAGAAGTTTTAGTTCTCAAAACGACCACTAAAAATACGACAGCAGAAATAGCCGATTCTTAAAGTTTATCTGCTACAAACTCAATTTATTTAGTTTGTATTCACCTAGTACTAACTTACGTATTAAGGATTTTTCAAAATGTCTTGGTTTAGTGGTCTGGATCTGCAACCACAAACTCTATGAGATTCCAATAGGATCTGATTCATACTCCACAAGAATTACTGACTGATAAAAAACGTATTAATTAGTATAATCTAGGCCAGAGCTTCCGAAACTTATTTCAATCGTGACACATTTGCTGTTATTATTTTGAGATCCCCCTTCCTCTAGTCAAAAAGTACCTAGCAGTTTTAGTTCTAGTCTAGTCACAAGAATAAAAATGATCTGTCTTACTACACCGCTGGTATAATGCCACGGCGCCCTAAGGCATCGCGACGCACAGTTAGGGAAATCCTGATTTAGGCATCTACATAGCATAAATTTTTAATCAATTTTGTAAGACTTGCAAAATATATTTCTTTTGTTTTACTAATTGTACTCACAGGGGCGGCCTTTGGGGGTGGCGAACAGGGCAACCGCCCGAGGCCTCGCTCTTGAAGGGGCCTCGCGCACTCGCGCAACAATCTAATTAGAAAAATATTAGGTAGTAATAGTACATACTACTAATGTTTATTTGAATTTCTTAATAGTCTTAAAAGAAGCCGCAAATTTGCTATCTTTGTCATTATCATTTTGTAAAAGTTGGTCNATTTGCTATCATTGTCTTTATCATTTCTTTTTAATTTTCGATAAACAATTTTAAAACTGTAAACTTATTTATGAATCGCTTTGCATTTTTTAAGTATCATCATTAAAATTAATTCCACAAAGACGAGGGCCCCGCAAAAATTTACCCGCCCGGAACCTTCCAATGGCTAAGGCCGCCCCTGTGTACTCATGTACAAATATCACTACAAAATAACCGATGAACCAGTTAAAAGTATATATGGTTTCACTATGAAATAGTTTGATCACTGCTTTTTTAGCTAAATATCACTAATTATTTGTGAGTAATAGATTTTACTAGTAACTTCTTATTTATCTGGGAATTTAGGACAGGTTTCCACTTTTTATTACGTCGACAGTTGTGAAAAGGTTTTGATAAAATAAATTTCTCCAGAAGTAAATGCATTATAAGAATCTGTAGCACATAAAACCAATTATTTTCAAAAGTATAATAAAATTTTATAAATACCAAACGTGAAATTTTAGAACGCACTATAACATTAATTTCGCAAAGTATGGCAATTATTCTATCGATCTCTTTCTTCGCTTAATAAGTATGTAAACACATACGTACTTTTCACTGGCCACACCTTAGTCATTAAGGAGAAATAATGAAAACCGTTAGTGTAGTTATAATGACACATAGCAACCAAAATGCTTGTTTGTTTGGAAATAAACCAATGAATGTTGTTTTACTTTTCTCGTTAAAATAGGAACAGTTAATTAACCAGAAAGGCGAATAAATAAAAAAGGAAACATTAACATATCGTTGCCTTGAACTATATGTGAAAAATGTATTCTGACAAGGATAAAAATGTTTCAAATGAAGCGCACCTAAATATAATTAATTTATATAATGGACACTTTGTCAAAACTGAGTAGATATTATACATAATGGCTGGACAGTGTATATAATATCCGAATTTATTACTTTCGCTGTAGCATATACATAAAAGGATAAACTGGCCACTGACTGATATATCAGCGTACAATCCAATCCTATGAGTCCAGAAACTAGAAATTTTCCAAAAACGTTTCTTATACAACGTGAGCGAGCACTAGGAAGGATTTTTAAAATTCAATTCCTAAATGGGTGAAACAGGGGAGTAAAGTTTGACGCTTCAATTAAAACTTCCAATTAAACGACAACTTCCGGTATGTCGAGGACAGGCCTAAAGCGCGGTTTCATCCTTTAATCACACTTATTAGAAGTTGAATTTTGAGAGGAGTTAGCTGCATAAATTATCATTACACCTATACAATTTATATACATAAAAGTATAAACTGACAACTGACTCATATATCAACGCATAGCCCAAACTCCTGGGTCCAGAAACAGGAAAATTTTCACAGACGTTTCTTGTACAACGTGCGAGCACTAAGAATTTTTTAAAATTCTACTCCTAAGGACTTAGGCCAGGTTATAGTGAGAATGGTTTCAAGTGCTACATGTACTACCGAAAAATGAAATGTGTGCTGGGAGACACAGTAGAAGTGAAACTTCAACGGACAAGTGGAAAAACGGATGGCAGTGGACTAGTGGAAAGACGAATCGCAACAAAATTTTTACTTCAAATTTTACGGGCAGATTGTTAATGTACTTGTCAAATTTGAAAACCTGCCCGTAAAAATTCAAGTAAAAATTTGGTTCCGATTCGTTTTTCCACTTGTCCGTTGCAATTCGTTTTCCTACTTGTCCGTTGAAGTTTCGCTTCTACTATGTGTCCCAGTATACATTTCGTTTTCATAGGTTTACTGCAAATTATGATCTGATTTTTACACAGACCGCAAATAGAGGCAATGATACCCAGCCACGTGGAGATCAGAGGTAAAAAAACAACAGTTGAGCACAGCACACGCCGCCGGGACTCTAGGGGACTCTCCGCTCTTCGTGCGGCCGCCCATTATATCCATCTAATGCAGTCGTTGTCCTGTCTCCGCTGCCGCCAGCCGTAACACATTTTCGTGACAGAATAAATCGTAATACCCCGTCGTCTATATAGAAATTTCACTTTAAAAAATAATACATAAACATTATAATTTCATATAGGATGTACCACTACTGAGCAAAACATAACTAAACAAGATAAAACAAATCAATAAGTTAACGAATTTTGATAAATCTATACCCTTTTCATGATAGCAGTTATTAAAGCAAAAAGTACAACATTTATTTTCTGTAAAGATCTTATATCCGACAGAAAACACTTTTTTCGTCAAAAGATATTTTTTCTAAAGTCTAAATCTATTTTACCAATGTAATTGAAACAACTCAGCCGGATTTTATTTCCTTCTTTATTGTCTTTGTTCAACAGATACTTAATATAGCGGTAAATTTGCTGTTTAGGTTCTAAAAGTATTGTTAGCTCTTATCCATCCTCTGAAGCACTTTTTCGTGATAACTTTCTAAGGGTATATTAGTATGGTTTTGACTAATACCATTATAAGATAATAGAAAGGGTTATCGATTAATTTCTTCCTCATCGTCGGTAATGTATTGTAATATATATGGACAGAAAGTTGAAAAAATCTAACTCCCTTTTAGTGGAAGTGAGAACGCTTTTGTTAACAATCCAGCCGTGTCTGGAATATAGCATAATTATTAAAAGAAAAATGGAAGTATGAAGCAAACGAACGAATAATAGCAAAGCCTTTTTAGATATCCTTTCAATACGTTAGTGTATATATACATATGTTCCTTTTGTTACAGCATTCTATACGCAGACATAGTGGGCTTTACTGCAATATCGTCAACGTATTCAGCTCAAGAACTTGTTAAAATCCTTAACGAGCTCTTTGCACGGTTTGATAAATTGGCTGAGGTGAGTAGCAACAAAATGTAACACTTTTATATTGACAAAAAAGATTGGAAAGACTTTCAAAACGTACGTTAGACTGAGCGAGTAAGAACATGGAATACGAACAAAAATTCATGATCGTTCACTGTGAATAAGAAGCATATTTTATTTATCATAGCTCGGTCGAGTAATTGAAGCAGAGTAGATGATATTGTTCACAAAAGGTTGAAAAACCAACTTGCTTGCTTAAAGGGCACTAGAGTACTGGGTAAGTAGACTTAGAGATGATGGGAGAGTTAAATTGTTCTTTATTTTTTAGTAAGCGTAAACTACGAAATGTCGAATAATCATTATCATATGGTCGTCAGTCCTAAGACTGGTTGGACACGTACCTCCACTCTTTCCTATCCTGAGCTAATCTTCGCATTTCCCTAAAACTAGAACAACCCATAACCTTAACTATTTGCGAACAGTATATAATCTAATCTAGGTCTACCTCTACCCCTCCTAACTTCCATATCTGCCTCTAATATGTCTCTGACTAGACCTTCATCTTGAGCAGGTGTCTTTCCAACCTATCTCACCTATTTTTTATTGACTTCCATAGAGTCCTTTGTTCTCCTATTCTTTCTAATACCTCTTCATTTCTAACCTTTTCTACCCACGTTATCCTCATCATTCGCCTATAACACCACATTTGGAACGCTTCTAACATTTTCTTGCCCGCCACGCCCACTGTCCATGTTTCGTACCCGTACAACGTTGCGCTCCAAATATACACCTTTAACAACCTCTTTCGAATTTCTAAATTAACCGTTCGCCAGTATAGAAGTGACTTCTTTTTATTAAAAGCGACCCTACCCTGCGCTATCCTCTGCTTTATATCCCTACCTACTACTCCTTCCGTCCTGACTTATCTGACTTCCTAGATATCTAAAATCAGCCACTTCTTCTAATAAATATTTAGAATTAGCAAAATATAGTTTTCTGATTCTTATTATGTTTTATACTTTGAATTGTTTTTTTTTTGCAAAGAAGAATTAGAAGTTTGAAATTGTGCAAATGCATTTATATCTGCTTCATGAACCTATCGATTTTTCATTTGAATCTCTGGTTATCTATTCAAGTTTAGTTTTCATCTTATTCACAATTGTGATATATGAAACATTTAAATATTTGAAACAGAATTTATTGAAACTCTACAATTGTTTTGATTTGATTGTGCCTTTCTTAATAGTAACATGTTATTGTTGAGTTATGATAAATTCTATTCCTGAAACTTTCAAATAAATAATTAATTTTGATAATCCAATCAATTCTATTAAACATGATAACATTCCATATACTCCATATAGTACCTTATTACCTTTAATACCATAATACGTATATAGGAAGTGTTTAACAAATTAATGAGGGTAATGAAGATGCTTGATACTGTCTGCTAATTTTCTAGCCCGATTATCTTTATGTTAGGGATAATATATATGTATACCTATATTGTTATGATAAGATAAAAATTACATAACTGTAGCTATAATTTTCATTGTACACAAAACATAATTAATTTTCATCACGGATGCATATATTAATGGTAACACAGTTTAATATTTTCATTGGTTTTATACGAGGTGAAGACATTTTGTAAAAACAATTTTATTCATTTAACGCGTGCTATAATTTCGCTATCCACGTATACTATTCCTATGTAAATTTGTCCCTCATCAAACTTCTGTTGTCAGTTGGTGTGCTTGTGCTTATTCGACAGAAGATTTATCTAAGTAACGATTAGTCAATATATAGAGTCGTAGATTTGGTAGTGACAAGTATGTGACGGTAGAGAACTTTATTGTTCCGAGCGATTTATTGATTCGGTTTAATGATACGAAGCCTGTTGCAAACACGCCTCAGGAATGGATCGATTACCGCAAAATATCCTGGTGTATTGGCGAAAAACGTGTTCCAACTAATTTTAAATTTTTGTATATTATACTTCACTAAAATTATCGTACATATATTTAAAATAAAATTAATTAATGGTTAAACATTAGAAGACGATGGTGAAAAACAAATTAAATAAAGCAGAAGAAATGTCTTAGGGTATTTATCGTTTATGGAAACAATAAGAAATCTAAATGTGTGTATAAATGTTTCAAATTATCCTTGAATGAATCCTTCAAGAGGAAAAATAAACTTCACCTTGACTGTGTCCACGATTTCCCAGTAAGTTCATAATTTAAGTGTAAGGATTATTTGCCGGGCAATGTGTTCCACTAATATTTAGATATATATGTATAGGTGGAAATATGTTTTGGGCTTAACATTGTTTAAAATCATTAAATGTAACATTATATTGGAGAGTAATGTTACAACCTTCATTTCATGTAAAATTCCAGTTAAATTATTAATTGAGATAGTGATTGAGTATTAAAGTTATGAGTTCAGATATCAAAACTAGTCGATATCCTTAAATACGAAACGAATGAACTATATTTAGGTTCAAGGGTTCAGCTTGGGCGTTGAACAGTCGGAGTCAGAGCTATTACTTTTATTTATTATACATATTACAGTCTACAATTGTTTCATTGTATTTTTTATTACAGAAGTACCACCAGCTTCGAATAAAAATCCTTGGAGATTGCTATTATTGTATAAGTGGTGCTCCCAAGGAGAGGCCTGACCATGCTGTGCTCTGTGTTCACATGGGACTATCGATGGTTAAGGCTATCAAGTAGGTATAAAGCTTAGCTGTTCTTAAATCAATTATTCAGTGGGTACAAAATTCATTGTCATTTTACCGTGAATAAAAATTCGGTCGGACGGACTGCTTTAAAACAACCAGAAATATAAAATATGCATTAACAGGAACGAGAGCACATACATAAATGATTTATATTTTATGCTCATCTACGTCATAGCACCTTTTGAGTGATATAAGTTTCATTCCTCTGCTTTTATATTCATACCGGAAGATTGAAGGTAATAGTACGAAAGGTAATCAACATTGTGATTGTTTATCGGTATAATTTTCGCCATTCGAGTTTGACCGACATTCAGAACGATATGAACTTTAAGTTATCATCATCATGAAAATGTGTTTGCTGCTCGGGAAAACTGCATTTCAACTACATGCGAATGTTGGTTCAGAGCAATGAATTTGCGGTTTGCAGTAATTGGCCTGTTACACAGAAACAGTGTCTAAACGAAGCCTCTAACACAACTGTGGTAAGCGTTATTCAAATGTTAAAGACATGTTACATCATCATCACAGATATGTTTAAAAATAACAGGGAAATTGAAACGTTACAAGCGTTATACCTGAGCACTTATCGTTTGTGTTGGGAACAGCTTGACTAGAAGAAACAAATGTTTGAATGTTGAATCGAATTAATGTTTTTTCGATTTAAAAACGTTGTAAAAACTCAAAATAAATAATTCAAATCGCTTATGTTTTCAAGGAATAGTTTAAGTTTGATTTGTTAATATTTTTACAATTTGTAAAAGCCACTACACATCTAAGTTTCATTATTAGTTTCTTTTGTTCTTGTTTTATCTTTATGGACTGTTTATACCCTTTAAGAGGTATTTGCGCGTCTTTTTTTCCCGTTTTATATACACTAAAAGGTAGTACAACCTGTAAACTGTTTTATTAGACAGATGTCTACTAATACCATTCACATAAAATAATTTGAAGGAGATAGGGGTAGAAGCAAGAAAAATCTACTTATTTGACCTAAAGAACATTCTATTTTAAATTTACTTCTGATTTCTAAGGTAACACATCAACAAAGAGCGTTTAAATTATTTATTGGTCAGTAATTTATAAAAACTACCGTCTCCATTTTCAATTTATTAGGTCCCATCAGCACGTCATGGACAGTTTCGATAAATCATCGATCCAACCGTCTTTGTACTGTAAAAGGAAATTGATACAATATATATGCAGTTTATTTCAGTAAGGCTATGCGCGCACTATAACTGTTCAACGACAGTTCAGTCGTTGTAGGAAATAATCTGCATCTGAGGCAACGTTAAAATAGATTTGGTAGAGATGACAAGAATATAAGAACAGAAAATATTAGATGGCTTGTTCAGAGCGTCATCGTGAAGTCATAGTACAAATACATTTTGTATCTACCTGTAAACACATCTGTGGAGCTATTGAACCGTCCTCGTATATGAATATGATAGTTCAGCGCACATAATGTCAATTCATGATAGCCTGAAAAAATGTAGCTATTTTAGGCTGATCAAAGTAGTAAACCTACTGTATAGAATCTTTATACATACTGTGGTTTCTCAGTGCTCATGGACACAGTCGTTTTTCTTATGTATTTGAGAAAAACACATAAGTACATTTGTTTCTGCACCTGTGGACCTCTTCAGCAGGGGCAGCCTTTGGGAGTGGTGAACAGGGCAACCGCCAGGTGCCTCGCTCTTGAAGGGGCCTCGCGCACTCGTGCAACATTCTAATTAGAAAAATATTAGGTAGTAATAGTACATACCACTAATGTTTATTTGAATTTCTTAATAGTCTTAAAAGAAGCCGCAAATTTGCTATCTTTGTCTTTATCAATCTTTTTTAATTTTCGATAAACAATTTTAAAACTGTAAACTTATTTATGAATCACTTTGCATTTTTTAAGTATCATCATTAAAATTAATTCCACAAAGACGAGGGCCTCGCAAAAATTTACCCGCCCGGAACCTTCCAATGGCTAAGGCCGCCCCTGCTCTTCAGGATAAACTATCTTTTAGTAGCAAAATGTGCTGATTAGATAAATACTTTAGTCAAACATGTTTAGTCCACTTGTCGTTTTCATTACGTGTCTATTATATGTCTTTTACCGTACAGTTATGTATAAAGTGCTACCCTTTTAACTGTTGTTTACTGAATAAAGTTTCTCCTTTTAGATTACAAATTTTCGAAGTTTAAACTAGACATCTCATTATGTGAAATTGCCCTTTCAGGTACGTTCAGCAAACTACGAATTCTCCGGTTGATATGAGGGTAGGAATCCACACGGGAGCCGTCCTAGCAGGTGTTTTGGGGCAGAGGCAATGGCAATTTGACGTCTACTCCAAGGATGTGGAACTCGCCAACAAAATGGAAAGCAGCGGAATGGCGGGGTGATGATAAATGTTTTATTTCTCAAACATAATGCCTTAATTTAATGGTGTAGATTTACACAACACTTATACATATATGTTGGCACGGCTTTTTCAATGTTGATATTCTCTAATGGCACGTAATAGGCAAGAATCAATCGTCACGGAATTCAATGTGAAACATTATTCTTGCTGGTGTACATTTATATCTAGTAATTGTTACGAATTCAATAAAGGTCTTCCCAAGGAAGTCCAAAAGCTTTACGAAATCGTAATCGATTGTGAGATAAAATCTTCATATTAATATTTTATCAACAACAGGCCGTTTTTATTGTACAAAAATCCTTTGCATGTATTTGTTTTAGAAATGGGTTGCTTGCTCGGCACATTATTAAACAATTTAACTAATTATGTTGAATAAGAACATGTTTCGGTAATTAATGAATGTAAAAAATATTAAAATTAATTAGGAGGCTATCTACAATATACTCTTTATTATAAAAGAAAAATACAACGTGTAATCATACAACACGCCACTGAAGTGAAACTTCTTCAAACACACAAACATACCGGGATAGGGGTTAAGGAATTGGTTTAATAGTATTATTTGTACACTATGAATTTAAATTTTACGCTATACATGCCGGAGTTGCCTGTAACGAACGTTGCATTGAAGCGCGCTCACGGCTCAAGCGATCCCCACTACGAACTCGACTACGTGGCCGAGTAGAGGGGGGACAACCGTTGCATGATTTCGTTACATAGAAACTCGCATGAAACGAACTTACCCTACCGTGCGTAAAGAAGTTTCACTTCAAAAAATCAAATTCGATTCCGCTGTTTCGATCTGTTTGTCAAGATATTCGATTACTTTTAACCAATTATCGCATGTTTACATTCTTCACTACAATAAGATTCAGGTTTGACATTTCCTTACCTAAAACCTTATGATTAATACCCAAATACATGGGAACTTTTCATCAGTGTGGTGAGTCAGCTCGTCAACGTTTCGAGAAAATGTATTTCTATACAAAAGAAGATTAATCGTTGTTCTATACCTGCAGCTATTCAAATTCAACCGTGAAAATTCACATTTTTCTACATCCATATGAACAAAAGATTGTTCCGTAAAAAAATTATTCAAGCTATAACACGTGAAAACTCTTTTCCTGCAGCGAAGTTTAATCGGTTTTCCATTTTTTTATTAAGATTTTCCTTTCTTTGCCTGTTTCTCTTATTTTATTCATAGGTACTATATTGAGTTTTCAATTTGTTTTGTGTTTATGTTATTTATTTTTCATAACAAATACTATTTTGGTTATGATTATGTTGTGACATAAGCTATTAGTTTTGTATTATTGTACCTATTATTACAGCTTTTTACAAAAATAAAATTGGTTGATTTTAACTTTCGCATTTTTTTTTGGTTCCTTTTATTTCTTGGATATTTTATTTTACTCATCCTAACATTTAGGAAAGAGTATCCTTTACATTGAGTAAACAAAAAACACAAATAAAATTTGGGGTGATGCAGTTATCTGAAAAATATTATCTTGAATTTAAATTTTAGACGACCAGACGTTTTTGGCATAACAGTTTTTGTTAACACAAGTAACCATAAAACGGCAAGATATATAAAACTTTTGGTTCTTAGTTTAGCATTTTGGAAAATAATAAAATAAGGCAGTAATGTTCCCATAAACCAAGTACTTATAAAAATGATTTTAGAAAGTTTCTTACGAATGTTTGCACATTTTTTAAGTCAAGTAAGTTGTTCATACTTTTACACGCTATAAAAAAGTTCCCAGTTAAATTGTTTGCATTATGAATTCCCAGCTTGTTGTTTTGTCAATTGTAAAACTAACTAAAGTAATTAATATTGTGTTCAAACTTTATCAAATTATGTAAAAAATAGGTTTGCGTTTGAAATAACTCAGGTGAAATTAGATTACAAATAAAACTTATCCTGCACATTGTTTTTACATTCAAAAATTTAAACTTGCCGAGATCATGATTGAATTAATTATTCGGTATTAATTTCAGCTAAGAATTTATTCCTTATTAAATAGTCAATGCGCATAATTACTTTTCAATTTGTTCAGTCATACAATTTTCTCAAAATTGTCTCATCTCGCTTAAATTTATTCCTTCGTCGCTGGCGTAATTTGAGTCTTACAAGTCAATTTGTACTCAAGCAAGTGTTCGGAGTTGAACAAGAAAATTTAATTTTCGTTCAATTAAATTCTACTGATGATTGTGCCGTTGGATACTTCTGATGCTAGACAGCAAACCTGGAAAAAGAAAATAGAAATTTTGTAGAATTATTCATCATCACAAGTTTCTGGAAAAGGGTTAGATGCGCAGTTCAAATACTTCTTCATTTCCTGAACCAATCATCGCATTTCCCGAAAACTTAAATATTCCACGTCCGCATTACTATTTGCGAATAGTAATCTAATCTAGGCCTTCCTTTGCCCTTCTTTAATCCTTCCTGCTTCAAAAGGTGTGGTATCTCTTTTTCCAATTAATACCTCCTGATCTATCCATGATACTTGTATCATCAACACTATATCTCACACTTTTTATTTTCCATCGTTCGGGTTTTGCAATTGTACAGAGCCGCTCTCCAAGCATACACTTTTGTTAATCTTTTTCGAATTTCCGTTTTAAAATTCATACGTTGTGATACTTCACTTATACCTATCTTAATAGGTACATTGTTTCGAATCTTGACTTCATAAAATACCGATTCGAAACACTTTATTTTCAAAGTTTATGTAAATACTTATACTAAAAACCCAAAGTCGTGAAATTAGCATTAACGTAAACTTCTGCTTTTTCTCGTTTGATGTGAAGTAGAAAGTAAGATTTGACCTAGATGCTGAAGGATGGGCAGGTTTTAGAGGGTGCCATTTATTCTTTTGACGGCGATAAAAAATACGTGTTGTTTATCTTAGTCACGCTTCATTTATTTTAAAGAATGACTACTTTTAAAAACTGTCACGAACTCGGTTATCGACCTAAACATAAATAACAATTCTCTATTTTCTATTTTTAATGTTGCCCATGCTCAATTGTTCTGATAAATGATACTGAAAAAGATTTAGACTTCCACATACAATTTGAAGAATAACTTGTATTTAATTTGGTTTGAAAGGAAATTTAAAAAAACGAAATTTGAACAAAGCAATTTTTTCGAAATACATTAGAAAAATCATTGCTTCTCTGGACTCAATTGTATTATATTGATTATTAATTTATCTATATTAGAGTATCTGATGTAGAAAATAACTTTGACAATTATGCCATTGAAATTATTTTTGACTGACCTAAAATTATTTGTATACTTAATGCGTAGTTGAAGTTCGGAACTATAATGCTCTTTAAACCGTTAATTAATTTACTTCAATTTTGGTAAAGGAATTTAACACAAATTTTCAGTTTAAAAGAATATATTTTTTGAATTACGCAGCAAAATTTTTGAACAAATATGCGAAAATGGTATCGTCCCTTCTTTGCTATGTCGATTTTTGTTGAAAGAAAAACCAAAAGGCGGTAAAACGGAATTACTTTGAAGACTGAAAAAAGCTGAAGATGAGGAAATGTAAACAAAATTGTTTACGTATCCAACAATAAAACGCTTTACTTCCGAATAAAGCTCTAAAATTTGCAGTAAATGTCAAATGGTTTCCTTTTTCTTAAGAGTATACTTCTTTTTTCGAAAATAATTGATTTTTGTGTGATAATAGAAAGTAATTTCTCTTAACTTTCAGCTAATGGAAGTACAGGTATTTACCTGTAGGCTCTTGTATACGAGACAGGCGCCAAAATTTTTCGAACTGGCTGTATTCTTATAAAAAGAGCAAATACGAAAACACAGAAATGTTCAAAGATAATAAATTAAAATGGCTGCATCATTATCATAAGGTCGTCAGTTCTAAAACTGGTTGGACACGCACCTCCACTCTTTCCTATCCTGAGCAAATCTTCACATTTCCCTAAAACCAGAACATCCCACATCCTTAACTATTTGCGAACTAATCTAATCTAGGTCTACTTCTACTTCCCCTAACTCCTGTTTCTGCCTTTAGCATGTCTCTGACTAGCCTTTCATTCCTGCGAAGGTGTCCTACCCAACTATATCGCCTATTTCTCATTGACTGCCATAGAACCATCTGTTTTCCTATTCTTTCTAATACCTCTTCATTTCTAAACTTCTCTATCCACGGTATCCTCATCATTTGTCTGTAACATCGCATTTTGAACGCTTCTAATATTTTTGATTCTCCCGTGTCCATCGTCCATGTTTCGCGCCCGTACAGCGCCGCGCTCAAAACATACACCTCTTTCGAATTTCTAAATTGACCGTTCGCAAGCATACAACTGACTTTTTTCTATTGAAAGCGACTCGAAAATGGCTTATTACAAAACAAAATGCAGAAGAAATCAACTGACTTTAATCCTTTCTTTATCGAAACACAGGATTGTGAGTCCAAAATAATAACTTGATAAAATAAGCTGAAGTATCAGTTTCTGTGTCACTAAAGACGCTTTTGGTTTTAAATGTCTGGCGCCTCCACCATATCAAAAAGTCTGATAATAATAATGTAATACACTGTTTAATTTAACGTAAAAACCTTTTTTCAAAAGACGTTAAATATTTTGTTGCATAGGACCCTGCTAAATCCTTACGGAAAACAACCCTCTGACAAATTATTTGAAACTTTGGATTCTGCCAGTTCTCAACGTATAAAAACGAGATTTTCGATCTACAAGTCGAAAACTACCAGAATCCAAAGTTTCAAAGAGATCTAACGGGGTCATTTATGTAACGAATATAGCAAAACACTTTATTGAAAAATAGTCAATTTTTATTACTTCTGGAAACAGTATAAGTTGACCACAAAAAATTTTACGGGGCTTATCTGTTATGTAGTATCTTATTTCTTGGTAATTAATTTTCGCAAGTCTTTCGCTTCGAACACACCAGCAAAACAGGAAGTAAGCTATATGTATAAGCGGGTGCTTCATAAAATATAGCAAAGAGGAAAAGTTGTAACTAATTCTTTTATTAGTTGAGAAAGTTCACGAAAAAGCTGAAGGGGTTCTATCTCTCGTCTTGTTAAATGAAATTCGACGTTGTATCTATTTGCTTTGCTGTAAAAGGAGTTGATTATCTTCAGCTGTAGTAGACGTACCTAATGCCTCAAATACTGAATAGCTTTATGTCTATTTACAGACGAGTTCATATCTCTGCGACTACTTTATCTTTTCTGAACGGAGAGTTCGAAATTGAACCGGCCTACGGCGAAAAGCGAGAGGAAGCTTTGCGAATAGCTGGATTAAAGACCTACTTCATCGTCAGAGTTTTAAAACCCGTAAGTCAACAAAACAAGATTTTCAATTTCCTCAAATAACAGCAACTTTTACGTCAGTACCGCCCAACATGCATACGTTTAGCTAAAAGAAAGAAAGGCTCAAATAACGACCTTTACCATTTTACATTGTTACTTACATCTATATAAATACCTACAAACGATGTCAGACATCTAAGCTTAAAAAAATAGCTATCTGACAATATCATTCTGCGGTAGATATAAATAAATAATATTTTAATAATAAATC